GGATCGCCAAACACACCATTCTCGGCAACTACGTCGCATGATATTTCTCCGTCGCATGCATCATAGACGATATCGGAGCTAGTAGTAGCAAAACAGTTGTCTTTATAGGACCTCCACACGTGACTCCATCTTTACGTCCATAGTTGGCGCTCAGTATGTGAATAAAACCACAATCACACTCCATGTGGAGAGTTTATGTTCGCACACCAACTCTGTTTGGGTAATTGCATACACCGTATGCTTCGATGATGTCCCTGTCGCACCACAGTCGATCGTCTCTCCAAAATTGTCCTGATTCTGACATGCATCGGCATCTGAGTGACAAGCACCTCCATCTAACAATGAGAAAGTTGTCCACCCTCTAGCTGCAGCTGCCTGGCACACTTCTCTACATGAAGCTCACGCTCCAGATGGTGGGATACTAAGTAGTCATCTCGGCATTCCAAAGACTCAATGGGTTCATCATCTGTATTGGTGTTAAAGCAACCAACTTTAACGACCTCTGTTTATCCAAAATGAAACACAATATAATGCATTGTTAGAATGTAGCGAGCGTGTTATATGATTCTACTTTATCGATAGTAAATGAATTGTTTCACAACAATCAAGTAAATGTTCAGCGAAATGGATGAGCACATTGGACATAAATATATATATAATTTTATAAAATGACATTCTTAAACTACCTGATTATAATCCAGACATATTGTATTAATGTTAAGGATGAATGTCCGTTCGTTCGAAATGGATGAGCACATTGGACATAAATATATATATGATTTTATAAAATGACATTCTTAAACTACCTGATTATAATCCAGACATATTGTGTTAATGTTAAGGATGAATGTCCGTTCGTTACCAGGACAATAACTACACACGCACACATGTCAGGTGTAAGTAGAGATTTGTAATAGTGGCTTTATGACTTACCAGGTACCGGTTCTACAGGTGTCACGCCTACAGTAATTGTTGAATAACAAACAACGTTAGTAATGTAGTTCACGAGTATATATTTGAAAATATTAACACAATAACTTGGTTATTTTAAATGAAAATTACTACAACGAATTAGAATGAAAATGTACACGAGCAGGTGTCTCCAAGAAGATTTTCACTACAAAATATGATTCGATGGTAATGTGTGGCGGTTATCCGCCATGTTTCATTACGTTCTGGTTATTCTAATAATTAAAATTAGAAGACATGTACAATGCATTGATACACTCAATCAATTTGCGCACACTTAATTAAGTAATTTAAAATTCACTCCGCAGTCAAATCCGCACACGAAATCAAGTAGTTTTACGTATATTCGTAATAAAATCTACGAGTCGTGAATTTAGTAATTTATACTTACATTCGTAATCAACTTCGAGATATTTGTATGTTCCATTACAAGGATCACCTAATATACTATTCAAAGCAGCAATTGACCAAATTGAAATCCCTTCACAGACGATGCTCAGACTATTAGTAGCAAAACATGCCTGATTGCTCATTGCACTGTGGGGACATGTAGTTCCATCTGTCCCACCGTAATTTGCAGCTAAGACATGAATGACGCCAGAACCACAATATATATTCAGAGTATCACCCTCGCATACTGACAAAGCAACCAGCTGAAAATGTCAAATTTTCTGATTTGAAAAATCGAATCTCACAACCATTCACTAAAGATTATTAATACACATGACCAACTGTGTTTGGGGATTGTTTGATTTGAGTAAGCCGGCAATATATTATTAGTGTAGGAAAAAGAAAGGGGGCAATGCTCACCAACGTTATGTTATAGCAAATATATATACTTGATTACAATTTCAATGGAAAACTGTGAACTACAGTAATTAATTGCAAACAGTACAGTACAATAAACGTCTATGGTTAGAAAAGCCAGTCTTCAAGTGCTATAAGACAAGTCCTCCAATCTCGTGCATGGCAACTTTTAGAGTAAAATGCTTGACATAGTTTTGTTGTTGAATGAAATACCACATAAGAGGTGCTTAATTAGTGTTGCCATTCTATAGTGGGAAGCCATTGTAAAAAGGTGTCCTATTTATAATTATCCATCAATTAGGAATTAAATCATAAATCATAGGATTTTTAAACAAATGAAATTTATACTAAAACCGTGTTGTAGAAAATGGATATTGACGTTACAAATGCATGGCAATGGAAACTATACGGACTCACCTTGGCTGGACAGACAACGGAAATAGCTAGTATCAAATATAGCAGCGTCGACATGGTAATCTAAACAAGAAAAAAAAAACCTTTTAATTTGGTTGGAATTAGCTAGATTCAACGAAATGGGATATAGATATAGAAAGTATAAAACATATTATGAGCCGGAAATGTCGATTAGAGTAATTCATGTTTAATTTATGTTGAACCTGAACGCTATTCTATCCTTATTCTTCTATGATGATATAATTAGGGTTGAACAGTTTCAAGTTGTTAATTAAAAGTATCAACATTTCAGTACATGCAAATAACTATATTGCAATTATGATAGCACGTCAAATGATTATGATACTCGTACTCATTGTAATGCTTTGTTATACTAAAAAGCAATACGTTAGTGGTCTGTCTCAGTGTTGCATATCGAACAATAGTGATATGTCGCAATGCTGCATTTCGAACGTTAGTAATATGTCACAATGTTGCATATCAAATGTTAGTGATCTGCACAATTTTGCATATCAAATGTTAGTGATCTGTCACAATGTTGCATATCGAACGTTACTGATATGTCGCAATGATGCATTTCGAACATTAGTGATCATTCACAATGCTGCATATCGAACATTAGAGATCTGTCACAATGCTGCATATCGAACATTAGTGATCTGTCACAATGCTGCATATCCAACGCTATTGATCTGTCGCAGTGTGAATGAAAGAACACACCGTAGTATCAGCTCTATGTGAGTGAGAGTGCCGTAGAATAATGCACACTTGTACATTGTATGTTTTATATATAATTGATAATGAACTCGTCAGCATATGTTAGTACGCCATACGCTGCATTCACATCAAGATGAAAAATTAACATTTCTGTTCATGTTGATTTCATTACTTTGACGTATGTTAATAATTGACTGTTGCGTTAGTATGCTACAATACAAGGAGAAAATTGGGAACATTTTACAACACTACATTTCCCTCAGTAAATAAGACAGTGCTTGTATATTTATAGATTACACATATGATAATAATTATGAAATCTCGATTTGTAAAATGTATCCGACAGCAGCTGTATGAGATAATGTAATGTAATGTATATAAACGTTTACGCAATGGTGTATTAATGTTAACATAATTTCTAACAATTGGAATGTTTCCAAGATGAAGCCAATTTCCCAATCGAGACAAGCTGTATATGATACTGACAATTTACTTAATAATATGCATGTAGTTTTTGGAATATGTGTATACTTCGAGATGACCAACAAGTCGTGACTATGATTTGATAAAAATATACTGAGCAAGCTGTTATCGGCTTACTTATTAAAGGTACGTATGGCTCGAACAAGTAAATCTACTTATTCTGAGCGAAATGAGATTGCCGATTCATTGAAACGTATTTGAATAACGCATGGTAATTGAAATAATTGTGTTGAACCAGATAGCTTACTTTTGTATTTATTAACGGATTTCCTAACAAATACTATATATTCGCCAATCAGCCTCTGTAGCAGGGTCAACAATGTACATATTTGTTTATAAAACAAAGGCGTTGATCAGGTATTACGAATTAAATTATATAATTTCCACAGCTTCATCTATAGTATATGAATGTGTACACCTAAAAATCATGCAATATGAACAGTTATGAATTTGGGCAGCCATCTTAGCATCTCAATATGTAAATCTGTTACAGATTTATTCACCAGAAAATGACAAAAACACCAAAGTTTTAAAAACCATCCAACAAAATCATCATTCAAAATACACCCAAATGTATTGAGTCACTGGAAAAAAATACAAAAAATGTTTATTTTCAAAAGGAAATAATAAAAACGAAAAAGAGATACAGAAATGTGCAGAATAATGGGAATGAGTCGAACTCAAAAAAGCTTTTGCTTAAAATAAAAGTGAAACATTGCGGGAATGCATTCACTGTAGTTCAACAATTATCGTGTTACGTTAGTGTAAATCAAAATACTTCAGTGTATCAGCGTTATGTACAAGTTATGCACAAGTACCCACACTTGAAACACATTGATATTGTGACTATTCTCAATGTGATTATTAGCACCATGTCTTTTCATGAGTTATGTTTCCGGTATGAGATATTATAATGTATATCAAAGCACAATTCTCGGCTTGGAAGTTTTTACCCACTGATTAATATAAAACGCATTCATGACTTGACCGCTGTTGTAAACATGTCTTGAAACATATGAGCACATCATGTCTCAATAACTGTAACATCAGAACACAGATAAACCATCATGACTTTATTGCTTTATTTGAGTATTTATGTGGCCTTGATTCACCAATGTGCTATCGCATGGTTAATAAAACAAAAGTTTCTTTGTATCACCTATAATGGACAAACATATTATTAACTTGTTGTTCAGTCGATGTTGTTTTTCATAGTCAAAAGTGTTTTATAAGAGAAATAATTTTGCATTTTTGATGGAGGAAATAGAAGTTGAAGTATGACGAAGGAGTTGGGGATAGACAATCCAGAAATACACTTGACGATATCAGATTATTACAGATTTCTATAAGTAACTCATATTAGACAGATGATATTAGATTAGCTACGATAATCGCTAAGTTTTGACAGTCATTCATTAAAGATTCTACCTGCAAAGTTCTGAAGTCTATTTATAACATATACTGATGATATCAGAATAGTTACAAATATCAAACCCATTTATACCTGACTGATGATATCAGATTACCTAGAAAGTTTTCAAAGCCATTTATAACACTGGAGATATCTGATTAGCTACAAAGTTCTGAAAGCCGTTTAAAAAATTTATTATTATACCAGCTACAAACCATTTATAACAGACTGACTATAAGATTACCTACAAACTTCATATTCGACAACATGTTTCAGATCACCTACAAAGTTTGAAAGCTGTTTGAACTGACAATATCAATTTCCTTACAAAAGTCTGGAAGCCATTTATAAAGAACGGGTGATATCAAATTACCCATAAAGTTCGGAAAGTCATTCATTTTATACATATTGATATCACATTGGATGGATTTCAACACTCAATTGTTCATGTATGTGGAATACACCAGATCGCCTATACACCAAGTTTCATTAAAATCTGAGTGACTCGTAAGATATCTTTCTAAAGATGAAAATGTGCTAATTATTAGGCAAATTAGGTAATTACTATGTACATATTTTTAAAATACAGTCATGTATACAAAAATACATAGATAGCAATCCATTGAATAAGCAAGCTCCAGCTGGCGATGTATTAACCCTTTACAATTGGTATTGGAAAGTTGTTAGATAAGCACAAACTGTTTAACGCGCGCTCAATAGATACAGTACTGAATTTGTTTGAAAGCAGTATTTGTGCCACCAAGTGGGATGTCTGTTGTCAGCAAAAGTGTCTGAAACGAATTCCCTCACAAATCACCATGGCAGCAAACTATTTAACCTTAGAAAAAAATATTTCAAAACGTGTTTTTGTTGTCGTAACTAATGAAATACTGATATCTGCTATATTTGAATATAATGTGTACCTTTGTAATTTGCAATAACATCTGATACAACAAATTTATTCCCCTTCGAGTTCGAGCAATTAGGTTATGTTTGTTTATCATGCCATGGAAAGTGTCATTATATAAGGTTATTAC